ACGCAAGAATATTCAAGTGTGTTAGAAAATTTTGGATTAATTTATCTGAGAAGTAAAGTCCTTTTAGGTAACCAGCGGACTTTTGGTAAAGTGGACATTTTTCGGATCATTGACAGCCCTCGTCTCATAAAGATATTTCAAGGATATTTTAAAATTTTCGAAAAGATTTTGAAAGATTTTCAATCTCTGGAAAGTTTCAGAAAGACGTTTGAAGATCGTTGAAAGATCTTTCAAAGTCTTTGAATGATCTTTGAAATATCTCTCAAAGGTCTTTGAAAGGCCGGATATGGGCATTGTCAACGAAACGAAAATAGGTGGAATATAATCGGATACTGTGATCGGGACGAAATCCTGGAACCGTTGCTTGGAACCGTACCGGAAACGGCAGGTATACGACTCGGATCCGGTTAAAGTGATTAAGAACAGGAAACTTAGTCGGGAACCGCACCGAAAACGACAGCCGTATCCGAAGATCGGACCCGAAGGTATGAATGAGCGGGAACTAAGCAGAATCTGGATGCCGGATCCGATTTGGGAACACTGCTTCCAGGAATTGGCCTGAATTTCACGGGATGCGGCTGTTTCCCCGCCGTACATCTTTGACCTGGGTATGATGTAAAGTTTTTCTTTTTAAATGAAGTATTAAAATAGATACACAATTGTTTGACACTATTCGATACTTTATAAATGAACTAACTAGACCAGAGTGATAAAAAAAACATTCTGATCTTTTTTCTTTAGGTAACAATCGAGAGGGAAACGACGGAAACTATGATCTTGAATTTCTGAAGTTTTTGGATGTGTCGTGAAATTTCATCAAATCTTATAAAGCTTATTAAGTCTGAAGAAATCTTATGAAGTCTTGCAAAATTTTGAAGTCTACTTTTTTCCTTTTAATAATGATTTAAGATGTTGGTTCGTGTCAGAATACTGTGTTGTCATAAGAAATACAACAAAATCTTTCAAAGAAAATAAACAGTAATGCATCTGCATTGATTTAGACAAATCTATCGCATTATTTTGAATAATTAATTAGCATGCAGTTTAATTTCGACTATAGGATTGACATGAAAAGAGAAAGGGATAAATCGAAACGATACTGGAATAGCACTATTCCCACTCTACACATAATACGAATACGAAGATGCCTAAAACTAGTAGTATAGTGTACTATAAACATACAGGTCTTTTTTTAGTAAGTAATTTATTGGACAGTTTGGTATATAAGATAGTTCTGCGTCCATCAACTACTAATGCAATTCATTTTGTAGATTATTCTTTTCTGCATCTTTGAAGATGTTTCCTAAATCAACGGACAATTAGAGCCAGGAAAAGACTCAAATCACCATAAAAATGTGAGAAAAGCCATGTTTCAAAATTTTTATAGTTTAACGAGACAAATTGGAGAGTTTTGATCCTCGGCATTATTCGTAAGTACGCAAAAAAAGTTAATATTATTTGATTCATAAGTTTCACGATATAATTATTCATTTGAGTTAAAAAAAACAAAAAATATATAGTAGTGGGTGATTCCATCAAACTTTGATGGGGTCTTTCGATGAATCCTCTGTTAAAGACTCCATGATGTCAAGATTATAGAAAAAAAAATTAATTCCGATTCTCTTATTTCAACATTTTGAATAAAACGAAAACGAAAACGAAAACCATTGATCGATCTACACAATCGAAACCATTTAAACTACTTCTAACTATTAGTGCAAATAAATACATAGTAATTTTCGAGATCAACACCATATGAGTGAAAATTATACAGTATGATATCGATGATCTAATAAAAATAGAATGCCAAGAACAAAAAATATAAGCTTAAAGATTCTCTCTTTTCTTTTAGTTAGAGGTTGATAAAACAAATTAGATTACAATTCAGACCATTCGCAAACTGTAGTTTCTTAGATTCAGCTAAATTTTATTTAAATATAAACACACTAAAATATAAATATACAATGTAAGCTATTTGTTTTCATCTATTTTGACTGCTTTTGTTTATCAATCTTTTAACAATTCTCTTCTATTTTTTCCTAAATCTAGACTTTGTTTGACACATATACCACACAAAGTCCAAAAACCATATATACATTTGCACAAAGTCAATCCAAATACGAGTTTAGGTTCCAAATATAATCTTCAAGCCAAGAAATAAAATTCAAATCCAAATTGAATCAAAAGACCTTGATTCTGAATTTTAATGACACTCTGGATTTTTTGTAATCGTATTTATTTTTGATTTTGATAGCATTCCAATTACCAATTGTTCTCGAGTCCAACGATGAATTTTTTCTTGAACATATTTACTTTGTGGTGACCAAAGGTGAAATAAAGCATATGTATGCATCAATCCTTTACCTTCATCTAATATTACTTCTACACCTGCTGATCGCATTTTCTTAGTCATATCACGAATGGCATCAATTGATATTTCATTTGTACCAGCTGTTATATAAACTGGTGGAAATCCTTCAAATGAATTATCTTTTGGACTTATTTTACTTAGTTCTTCATCAGTCACTTCAAACCAATTAGTATCTTTACCAATTGCTAATTGTCTTAAATTATATGCAAGTTTTAATGATAAATA